CTCTGGATATTGCAGCAGCACCCTGTTTTCCCAGCTCTTCCCAACCTGTGCTCAGCCCCAGTGGGCTTTTCGTTCCCAGGGTCCTGGGACCTGACATCCTTCGGTGCCACCGCAGGCTAGGGTCCCCCCCTCCAGCCTGCTAGCCCTTTCCAGAAGCCACCGAGGTACTAATGACTTCAGTCTCACCAAAACTTTAGTCATAGGGGACCCTAAATCACAGAGCTGCATTGGAAACGCAGACCTGATTAATAAGCTTTTCCCGCAGGAGCATCGCATGGACAGGATAAATCAGACGCTGAGTCACCAGCAAATTGACATCCCTGTGTGCCAACTTTGCAGCTTTCCCTGCTGCTGACAGGGTGCCCGGCACTGCTTTTACCAAATTCAAGGCAATGCCACCTGCAAAAGCCGGGAGATGCTGGAGGCGGAAACCATGGCTCAGGAGCCCCTTGCTCTTGCAGTGTTTCCAGCAGTGAGGCTGGTGGTCCCTGCCCTGCAAGGGGTTTGCCCCTTTCTCAGCAGCACTTTGTCTCATGCACGTGATTGCCCGGCACATAAACCTGCCGCAGCACCGTTTGGCTTGACTCTTCCACCCGAGGTGAACAGAAATCTGTGACCTCTACTAAAAATGTGGATTTCTTATTCTTTTCTATCTCTGCTTTTGGGCACAGGAGTAGGATCCTGTCCAAATCAGGGGCAGAGAGCAGCCAGGAGGATGGTCCAGGAGATCTCCGAGTAGATAGAGAGATCTTCAGGCAAAAGGTTGATGGCCCTGACCGCCCTTGAAGACTGACATGTTATTAACTGAAGAGCTCCTGTGAGTGTCTAACGAAATGCACTACGAAATAAAAAAAAAGTTGAGGGACATACCAAATATATTGCTGTCTATCTCCTGGCAGCTTCTGCTAATTTTTACTAAATGAAAGGCTTCAAGTATCTGGCCACACTCCCGAACACTAGAAGCACAGTCTGTTACTTCAGATATAAGAAGAGCTACAAGCCAGCGCCTGGCAACGGGGCTAATCTCCTCGGAGTGTATTATGGATGGGGGAGACTGGAACTGGAGGTAGCTGTCAGACCTATAATTAAAAAAATGTGTTTCCTTATAGAAATATCTTTCCGTTGTCAGTAGAGATGGAAATATAAAAATCTCATTTATCATATTCCACAAACTCGGTAGACACTCCAACCAGAAAGCTCTGACCACACCAGAAATAGGAACAGCTCTGTGTAATAACCTAAAATAAGGTGCTGAGCCTTATCACTGGTGTGCAAAGCACTGGCAAATCCTTTCCTAAGGGCAGTGGAAGTGCTGTGAATGGGTACGGGGCTCTACGATCTCTTCTGAAGGGAGTTCCGAGCCAACTTTCCAATTGCAAGCACTGAAATGACAGAAAATTACAATTTATGATGCAGGGCCGTATAGGACCCAGACGCACAGCAAGGCTCTTGGCAGCAGCGCCCTGCACTGGGCTGTACAACGGAGCTGTAGGCAGTTACGGAGCAGACAAGGCTTTTATTTACTCAACAAGCGCAATAAACATTAATGTTCCTGTCAGCACGACTCTCTGGAGGAAGGTTTGCCTTCCAGCCCATGGCTGCCTTGAATAGCCCGGCCACTATCCCATCCCTGAAGCAGGAACACGATACAGGCTGCGATTCCCTGTTCCCATCCTAGAAAATCAACCTGTTAGAGGCTCATCGTGCAGCTGAGAGTTAATGAGCTGCCATGATAAATTCAAGCTATTTATACCAGCCCCAGTGCTGTAACGACAAGCAAAAACAATGCAGCAAAGTCACTTCAAGAAGTTTTTTATGGGTAAAAGTGCAGAATTATTTATCTTTTTTAAGTTAAAGCTTTATTTCTGCGGGATTTGATTAGGAAACCAGATATATACATCAAGAAAGCCATTATTTTGACATCTCTGAGCTCCAGGCTGCCTTTAATATTAAAGCCAAAAGAGCATAAAGGGGAAAGTGAGTAGTTCTCTTAATCTATCCATGAATTTATATCAACCTTATTTCTACAGTGGTTTAGTGTTTACAGAGTATCTTCAGAACCAGCAATCAAGCATTTTAACCATTACTGAAATTGTTTTGAGTTAAAGGAGAAAAAAGTAGGCAAGTAACCACACCCGTTTTCCATTTTTGAAGGCAGAGGATACAGAAGTACAGGGAAAAAAATCCAGTAAAACCATATTTGAGAATCTTTCTCTGGGGAGTGTTTATATGACGGGTTATTTTTGTCGTACTTCTAATGGGTGAAATGAAATCGTTTTGCATTTCTGCAAGAGGTATTTACATGAGAGACCATGCAGCCTCGGGATGTGATGTAAATGGGCACCGTGGCCACTGCGCTCCTGTGGGACCAGCCCTTGGTGAGCTGGGCTCTGAGCCTCCTCTTCCTCTCCCCGCCCCACGATGGCCCCCGGGGGTCTGCTCCCAGGTGGAGGGGTGGGCAGGCAGG